TTTTTCTAGATACAAGTCCTACTATTTAAAACGTAGCTGGGGGATAGATCGGGTCATGCCTTTCCTAAGAGCCTTTCTGCATAAGTGGATGTAACGAACTCGACAAGAATTCGAACTCTGCTCTCCGATTTCTCAGTATAGCTATTGTCTAGAGTAAGAATCGATCGATTTGTTTTTATGGTTTATCAACGTTTTTCAGGTTATTTAAAGCCAAAAACTATTTTTACCTTATAAGAATCTCTTGGAAGTCATAACGATTTTTACTGATACAAATCCAACTCTTTAACCCATACTTTGGGGGAGAAGAGGTGGATTTATACCTTTCCCAAAGTTATTTGTGCTTAAGTGAATATAAGGAGCTTAACTAGAATTTAAACTTGGTCCTACGTTTTCTCAATTCGAGTTGCTATTCATTATATCATCCACACATGCCCCAGTTTATAGCACCTGGTATTCGCAAGCGGTCACCCATCTAAGTATTGACCAGGTGTGACGTTGCTTAGCCTTCAGTGATCGGTTGAGAACTAGTGTTTTAACGTGATATCCCTTGAAGTTCCTTTGAGACGCATTAGGACAATTGCGCTATTTTTTTTTAATTCAGTAAAAATCATTCTTGCGGTCCGCGGCAAATTTTCTGAGAGCAATGTATCATTTCATATTTTTAAATTCTATCAAAACGACCTCAAATTCCTACCCGAGATACTCAAGGTGATCTTGCTGAATAACTTTTTTTTCCGTTTTCTTTTTTCTTTTTAAAATCAAATACGAATACATTTTAGTATGCATATTTTCTATTGAATATTCTTATTTTTTTATCATAAATATTTGCAATTACCTGGCACACCTTTTGTACATTTTAATGCGTAGCTTAACAATAGTGTTTGTGTGAGTGGTCGAAGATGTACTCAACCAGGAAGAAGGTCAAAAGAATATTTGAAAGCACCATCCTATTAAATTTTGAAATGCGAATAAATTTGTCGTAATCAAAGCCAATGTTGATCTGCACTAGTTTGAAAAATAGAACAATTTTTTTAATCAATATACTATTGACAGAGTCAGAGGAACAGCCCGACAAGCAAATTAAAAACTACTCTCTCAGTAAAAAAAAAAAAACTTATCAGGAATACATTTTCATAGTAAAAAAGTAAAAAAAAAAAAACCATCAAGAACACATTTTCATAGTAAACAAGTAAAAAAAAAAAAAATTACCATCAATACATTTTCATAGTAAAAATTAAAAATTACCAGCAATGCATATAGTAAAAAATTAAAAAAAAAAAACGAAAATACATTTTCATAGTAAAAAAAGTAAAAAAATAACAACAATGTATTATCATAGTAAAAAGTAAAAAAAATTACCAGCAACACATATTTATAGTAAAAGGTAAAAAAAAAAAAAATCACCAGCAATACATTTTCATAATAAAAAAGTAAAAAAATACCAACAATACATTTTCATGGTAAAAAATAAAACAATTATCAGCAATACATTTTTATAGTAAAAAATTAAAAATTACCAACAATACATTTTCATAGTAAAAAAGTAAAAAAAAAATCACGAAAATACATTTTCACAGTAAAAAATTAAAAAATACCAAAATACATTCTTATAGAAAAATTAAAAATTACCAGCAATACATTTTACAGCAGAAAAAAAACAAAAAAAAAACACCAACAATATATTTTCATAGTAAAAATAAAAAATAACCAGCAATAAACTTTTATAGTAAAAAAGTAAAAAAAAAATTACCAACAATACATTTTCATAGTAAAAAATGAAAAAAAAATTCCAGCAATGACTCCGAAGGAGTTGATATGCCGTTAAACAAACCAAATCAAACCAAGCCAAATCTTACGTTCAGTATATCCTGTGAGTGACCAATTCTCCAAGTCTTCTTTCCTCATTTCAACCCATAGAAAATTCTACCCACTTTTTCTCATTTTAGATATAAGTATTGTTTCTGTTTTAATTTTCCTTAAAAACCTTTTCCTTGCTCGTATGTCCAGGACCTGGTTTTCTTAGGATCATTCTGTAAAAACACATCTGTGTTGCCTCCAATCTCGTCTTCATCTGTGAAAAGGATCTCCGACTTTCACTGCCATACAGGAGAATAGATATGACACTATTTGACAATAGTTTAGCGCTCTTTTTTTCTGTTTCTTACGAAATTTTCTTTGTTTTAGTTAATATTTTAAGGCAATAATCAGCATTACTGTATAAGGGAGATAACTCCATTAAAAAACTTATGAGTTATTTCCCTTAAATTAAATATTTAAAAAGTTGACATAAATTGATTTGTTTTATAATTATGACCTCAGATATTGCGATATCAGTTTTGAAAACGTAAATGAAAGAAATACAGTAATATGAAATAGTGATAATAAAACATGTCTACGGTCATTACTTTAAATCCTGTGAGCGATGTTTTATTTGGTAAGAATAATGAATCACCGACGGACATTATTTAACATGGCACAGAATTGTAGGAAATATTTTCTTTCTAAAGATTTTCACATGGTTTCTATTCAGATATTGTTCAACAAAAGACAAACTGTCGCTGTCTCGATTTTTGCTTGATCACACATCGAGCTATTCAAAGCGACCTGGTGCCATTTTGCTCGCGACCGCATCTCTAACTGTTCAACCATAAACGCCTTTATACTAAAAGCGCATTGTTTGTAAGGATTCTTCCTTTCTTCTTCACACCCACGAACCGAGAAGCATTAATGCTTACTGAACATGAATCATCAATGATTTAAAGAATATATGTTCCCGGGTTATTGATTTACATGCTTAGAATACACCAATATGCGTACAAATCAACGGTACATAGCTTTATAAACAGATTACTATAGTCTGGCAAAAGGCAGCAGAAATAGAGCTCTGACTAACAATGTTGTGGTTTATTTAGTAGTATTTGGGTGACATAGCCTCTTACGTGTTATTTAATGCGGAAATCTTACATATTTATAAGTTTGCCATTCGTACTTGCTTTGTATATTGTTGCCATATCTGGTCCAGTGCTTCTGTTATATATTTAGAGATACTTAGATAAAATCCGAAGAAGAATCTGCAGTGTTATTGGTCCTGACCTGGCATCTCGGCTTCGGCCACTTTCACTTTAACGTAGCTTCTCCGTGTCTTTTCTATAAATACTTTCATGGTAATTGTTCTCGTACCTAGAACAATTACTTCTATGTTACTTAGACTTTATGAATTTAAGCGCAGTACCCGATTGGCGGCAAGGTCTCATCATTTAACTGTTGAAATGGCTACAGATGCAACCGTAGGTTCTATGCTAACGTGTCGCTCGTGGAACTCTCTTTCGACTTCTTGCTTTCCTGTTAACTTTGATCTTCAAAAATTTAAATGCAGTGTTAATCATTATCTACTGTCTTTTTACTTCTTGTTCGTTTATTGTTCTTTCTTCTTAATAGTATTTTTCTCTTCTCATATTCTCTAATACTCAGTAATCACTTGCGTTTAAGTGACTTTATAGCCTTCCTTGGGGTGAAATGATTAAAAACAACAGATTCTCTTGGAAATGTTTGATTAACATTACTATTCATATAGCAGAACTACCAACGGCCTCAGAACAATTTCTTTTACCAACACACACACACACACACACACACACACACACACACACACACACACACACACACACTGAGTGTCCTTAAATTTAGACATTTGTAAAATTTAAGGAATGTTTTTACTGTTGTTTATAAATACATGTTGCCACATGGAATCCGCCTCCTGGGTAAGACGATAAACTACGTCCAACAGCAAGGCCTCTGATCAGGAGGTTTTGAGGAGCGTGGAACCACTTCTTAATCGCTGGTGTTCCCAGGTCCACCCTGACCCGGGGTGGTAGCATCTGTTAGGGTCCCAGCTATGGGTAAATAGTTAACTCCAAAACTGAGGTAAAAAAAAAACATTAAGAAAGTGAAAAAAATAGGTTTTAATGCCAGTTATGAATTTTTTGAGTAAAAATTATTACCAGCGATACATTTTTAATAATTATTACCAGCAATACATTATTATCAGCAATACATATTTGAAGAGAAAAAATATTACCAGCGATACATTTTTTAATAATTATTACCAGCAATACATTATTACCAGCAATACATTTTTGAAGAGAAAAAATATTACCAGCGATACATTTTTTAATAATTATTACCAGCAATACACTATTACCAGCAACACATTTTTGAAGAGAAAAAATATTACCAGCGATACATTTTTTAATAATTATTACCAGCAATACATTATTACCAGCAATACATTTTTGAAGAGAAAAAATATTACCAGCGATACACTTTTTAATAATTATTACCAGCAATACATTATTACCAGCAATACATTTTTGAAGAGAAAAAATATTACCAGCGATACATTTTTTAATAATTATTATCAGCAATACATTATTACCAGCAATACATTTTTTAAGAAAAAATATTACCAATCACCAGCAATACATTTTTTAATAATTATTACCAGCAATACACTATTACCAGCAATACATTTTTGAAGAGAAAAAATATTACCAGCGATATATTTTTTAATAATTATTACCAGCAATACATTATTACCAGCAATACATTTTTTAAGAAAAAATATTACCAATCACCAGCAATACATTTTTTAATAATTATTACCAGCAATACATTATTACCAGCAATACATTTTTTAAGAAAAAAATATTACCAGCAATACATTTTTTAATTATTATTACCAGCAATACATTATTACCGGCAATACATTTTTAAGAAAAAAATATTACCAGCAATACATTTTTTAAATAATTATTACCAGCAATACATTTTTGAAGAGAAAAAATATTACCAGCAATACATTTTTGGGAAAAAATACCAGCAATAAAAATTTTGTCGGCATTATTGTGATATTGATATGCCGGAGAACAAATCAAACCAAACCAAACATGAAATTCTTACATTTGCTTTGAGTTCATCAGAGGACGAAATGTATTAGGCTCATGGCCATATCACGTTGAAACCCCGGTTCTCATCTCTTCACCGATGTTAAGCATTGTTGAGCCTGATCAGTACCTAGATGGGTGACCGCTTGGGAATACCAGGTGCTGTAAGCTGGGGGTGTAGGTGGTGTAATGGATAACGACTCGGTATAAAAAATAGGAAAGCCGAGTTCCATTTCCTGTTCGGTTAGTTATATACACTTATGCACAAATACCCTGGGGAAAGGTATGAATTCATCTTTTCTCCCCACAATTAAGGGTTAATTAGTAGGACTTGTATTAGTAAACATTATTATCTCACTTAAAAATTCTTGAACTCTAAAAATATTTAAAATAAACTGTAAAAGGTTGATAGGCCGTAAATAAAAAAATGCAATGAAAATGAAACGTGTTGGTAAAGAGCAGTTTTTCAACTTTATCCCCCCCACACGCACGCACATAAAAGATACATACATAGACAGACGCACACGCACACGCACATAAAAACTACACGAACACACACACGCATATATATATATATATATATAGATAGATAATATTAGTGGAAAATATACATACATATGCATATATATATATATATATATATATATATATATATATATATATGTAAAAAATTTCACACATGCATATATATATATATATATATATATATATATATATATATATATATAGATAATATTAGTGGAAAATATACATACATATGCATATATATATACGTAAAAAATTCTCAGAATTAATCTGTAGAAAAGACAATATATGTAAAGGAAAAAAAGACGGGGTATAGAATTAATTTCAAGTTGACCCACCACGACGCGAATGAGTCCGAAGTTTTATTGTCGGTAACTCCAAAACGGCAGATTTTATCAAAATGTCTTTGTTATTTTCGAATTAAGCCTGTACATTTACACCTAAATGGAACTATTCAGGATTTTTTTTTTTATTTGAAACTGAGCGCGGAGCTTGAAATGCAAATTACCCTCGAGTTGAAATTAGTTCTGTCATCCAAAAAGACAATGGCTAAAACTCCATCCAGTTTTCTTATTGTCTCACACGCACGCGCGCACTCACTCACACACACACACGCACACACACACACACACACATATATATATATATTAAATAAAAACAGAAAAATGAAAGGAATTCTTTTCATTTTTTGTTTGGAAGTAAAGTCTGATGTTCCGCAGTCCTTTTAAAAGGACTGTGGTGAAATAATTTATTACATGGAACCATAAAGTGGTCTGTTTTTATTTAAATTATTTGCTCTGGATTTACATTGAGCTCTCTGGATTTTATCGTCCTTAGGTTTACCCATACGGATTACCTAGTTTTCATAATATATATATATATATATATATATATATATATATATATATATATATATATATAAATTTGGTAAAATATATATATATATATATATATATATATATATATATATACGACAGCAGACGTTTGCCACTGGTTCCTTCTCCAGGCAGAACTGAAAGCTTGAGAAAAATAAATAAATAACATTTAAGTTCCGGAGAGCATCATATTTCCCAATATATATATATATATATATATATATATATATATATATATATATATATATATATATAATATAACTAACTAGAAATAAATGGCTCTTATAAAGAGTCTGCCGTGTATGAACACCAGAAAGAAAAGTGCCCAACACCATACAATATGGTAGAGCTTTTCTAAACAAGCAATCATCTTTTGGATGTACACAGTCCGGCCACTACTATAAGTAGTTCGTCTTTTAGCAATTGTCACGCGGTCGGAAGCTGTAATGCGACAATGGGAGTAGTGGTCGGACTGTGTACATCTGAAAGGTGATTGTTTGTTTATATATATATATATATATATATATATATATATGAGTGTGCGTGTCTCTCTCTCTTTCTTTGTGTGTGTGCGTGCGTGTGTGTATCTGTTTGAATAAATTACAGACATTAGAAATTAGCAGACATTTTGTGTGCTAATTTTTAATAAAATCCGTTCATGCTCACGAATAACTTTTCGTCTATTGATGTTAAAGGATGAGAGAAATGTGCTATAGCTGTTTCAATTTCTTTTATTTTCATTTCCCCAATGCTTTCGATCTTCTCTCAAGATCATTTTCAGGGGTGCAAGTTGTACAAAAGATGACATAATGTCTGTAACGTCTTCAAGCAGACATGTCTAAAAGACAATTTGCTGCCTAAATACCTAAATTTTAATATATATATATATATCAGTGGCCAAGTGTCTGTGTGTGCAACGTATGCCTTAGCTTCCTTTTTCAGGATAAACAATTTTGTGTAATAAAAATTAAATATTTTTATTATGATTTTTGTACTCGTAATTATTTTTAAAATGTGTCATTCCTACATTTCTTAGAATAAATTGTGAACCGTGGTAGAGTAAGCAAAAGAGACCCCTGCTTGTATACTAGATCCGCGCCAATTGTATGCACAAGCACAAGGAGGGTGGAAGAACAGAGTGAAATAAAGTTGAAGGTTTAAGGATAAGTGCAAGGATGAAGAAGAGACTCGAGGCAAAAGAGGTGTGGTTCTACAGAAGGATGCTAAGGATAGCATGTACCAAACATGTGAGCAGCGATGAGATTTTGGAGAAGATGCAGAAGTATACACCGGGTATAGGAGATAATTGATAACTGACATCCATTAGACATGAGTTCAATACCTGGTTAAGGCAGTGGAGAACTTGGAGAGGGGAATTAACTGGAGATAACTGACATCCATTAAACATGGCACGTGGAACTAGAACAGTCTACCCCAGTGAACTGGTTAAGGTAGTGGAGAACTTGAAGAGGGGAATTAACAGGATATAACTGATAACTAACATTCATTAGACATGAGTTCAATACCTGGTTAAGGCGGTGGAGAACTTGGAGAGGGGAATTAACAAGAGATCCATTAAACATGGCACGTGGAACTAGAACAGTCTACCCCAGCGAACTGGTTAAGGTAGTGGAGAACTTGAAGAGGGGAATTTACAGGATATAACTGATAACTAACATTCATTAGACATGAGTTCAATACCTGGTTAAGGCGGTGGAGAACTTGGAGAGGGGAATTAACAAGAGATCCATTAAACATGGCACGTGGAACTAGAACTGTCTACCCCAGTGAGCGAAATAAAGAAATTCATTTCGACATTCCAACCATCTGAAGAAGGCCGGAGCGTACAACGGCCGAAACGTTGGAATAAATATGGCGACAAAGATGAAGACAATAGTCCGAATAATGTAAATATGGATATGTCAAGTGTGATCTTCAAAAATTCAAGTGCAGCGTCGATCATTACCCAGAGTTTTCTTAATCCTTCTTCTTGTTCTCTTCTGTTAATAATATTTTGCTTTTTCTCATATTCTTAATTTCCATGTTAACGGTTTCTTCCCCTGCACTTCTCTCTTGTGGAACTTTCTTCCGGTTTCTTGCCTTTCCCTACGCTGACGGACCTCTGGCGTGTTCGTCTTGGCAATGTTACCACTGGCGGATCGCTAGAGGCACACCGGTGTTTACCACTAGAGGACCGTTGGCGTTGACATCGGCGGCCCGCTAGCGTGTAGGGTCTGCTGAAGTATTATCTTCAAAAATTTAAATCAGTTGTTATCTGCTGCTCGATTGAAGTCTGGTTATTTAATGCCCAAATATTTTCTCAGGTTCTTTCCGTTTCTTTGCGTCATAGCGGCTTTATCACCTTGCTTTAGGTGATATCATAAAAAAAAAAATGTTGGGAAGTGAAATCAGATCGTGGATTAACAGAAAAATACCAAAACTGCCCACTTTAAGAGTACTGGCAAATTCCCAATCCAAATTAATCGCAAATAGATGGGACACGATAACGGTCGCGGAATAGCAGACACAGGTCGTAAATTTATGATGCGGTTCTATGACGTCGTACTACGTGAGAGACCGAAATATTAACAACAGAACCATATATCTAGATGCAATGTAATGTGTTGTGACTAGTTTGAAATGTAATTTTGTTCAGTGTGGTTTGCTTTGTTTTAATGTAGATGGCCTCCAATATCCGAAGGTTCTTTTTACTATGTGTATGTGTGAGTATTATTGTGTTATCAACTAATATCTGTCTAATATGACGTACATGGTGTGAATTACTCTCTCGAGTAGTTTATAATACGTTTATTTATCATCTCTCAGTTCGTCTCTGTCTTTGGGTAGAGTACGATCAGAGGCGGCTCCGTCGAAAGACAGAGTCGCAACTGAAGAAAATTACAGTGAGAGGTACCGGCCCTGGGAAACAGCTGCCCTAGGCCGCACTCTCTCATTGCACTAGTCGAGCTTGCGACAAGGCCAGTGCAACTGACGGTTGCGGGGGCTCGGGCAATTTTTGTTCCTAGCCCGGATGTACGCTCTCGGGCTCCTCACATTAAACCGACATTGTGTCACAACCTGACCTCGTGGGAGATTAAGTAAATACAAATTACGTACATGGTTATATTTTTTCTAAGAAATGTTGTTTGTAACACTTCAGAGTCGATCTTGTTTCACAACAAACGGCAACAGATGTAACCTTTCGTCGTGGTCAGCCCTGGTTTGATCAATGGCGTGATCTGTTCGATCCTGAACTGCCTTACACTACATTGTGATTGATTTGATTATAAGGAGGCCAAGGTCGATTTGTCGCAGGTATCTTCGTGTTGGACTGGTCGAAGTCGAGCGAATTCGTACAATTAAAAAAAAAAAACAGCACTCGAAATATGTATAAAAAATAATTACTATTTTTATATCAATACTGTGTACTGTTCGTTAGTAGTTGTGTTTGCATACAGGTGTTTGTCGACCCAACCCGTTCCTAAATCGGAGTAAGCTGGTATGTTTTGCCTTGCGGAGTTAGCGAAATTTGTTTTACTGATTTGATAAGTTTAGCTCAAGGCTGAAGTCGGAGGTTCTTGTGTTCAGCATGAGTTGTGGAATCTCTCAGTGACCTCTGCTGCTTCCAGCTCTCAACTGTCAACTCACAAGTCACAACGGCAACTCTGAACTGTCTAAATGGCTTTCGCGCATTCATTTTTATGGACTCCAACTAGAAACCGGTGCGGGGCAACATGCAGACTGGGTTTCGATGAATCCTCTGATTTCC